TCTTCTCCACACCTGAACTACGTGCTGCTATCCTGTCAGCAGGACCTGTTACGTCATTGCAGGTCTGCGTTCCTGTACACTAGATCCACTGCCTGTGGTCTCAGTTTGGCTCCCTTCGGATACAGCAGGCATGTTGACAGCGTATAACATGATGTGTTGGGCCTCATGCTTAACTGGACTGGTTACTACACAGGGTTAAATGGAAGTTCATCTGGTTAAACAGCACTGTTTCTGTTAAATCTCATTGGGCTGAATACACATTCACAAATTGCGTTACCCCCCAATATTTACATAATTTCTTTATAAAAGACATCACTTTTTGGGACATCTGGCTTATGAAGCAATTTTGGGCCTTTTTCTCCTGAGGTTGGGAGGTTTTGGCATCTATTCTGTGTACTTGTTGCCCTTTTGTATAATTTGAATAATACAGTATAGGGTGTGTATCCAACTGATATAATTAGCTAGTTAGTGATAATGTGATATGTTTAATAAATTTGGTGATTTGGTAACAAGTAGATCTTATCTTATTATAAAACTATGACCATGTAAGGACAGAATCTGAGCCTTACTATGATAATTGATACTTTATTGATCCCTGCGGGGAAATTCTCTTTACGCCTCCCCTAACTTGCTTGCTTGTAGGTGAGAGCAAGCTGGCTGTGAAGGGCAGCCACCCATAGCAGTGCCTAGAGAGCTGGGGGTTAAGGGTCTTGCTCAAGGACCCATAGATGTGCTGAGGCTGGCCTTGAGCCAGTGACCTAATGATCACAGGCATACACTGCCCCTCAACTTGGTGTGTTGGGTTTTAATGCTGGAGAGTTAGGGGCTAGAATTTCCTAATTAATTTCAAAGAACAGGTTAGATCTAACCAGCAGTGAGAAGTATATATATCTGAGCATTTTTTTGCAAAATTAAATGCAATGAAATCCATATACATCATTTTCAGCTGAATGGTCATGTTTAACTTTGAATCAATTTACTAGTTTTGATATTGGTTTTAAATATTTTTTTCAGTTACACAAGTAGTAGTGGATGGCTCAATCTGCTTGGATTTCTGTAACACAATCTCCCAGAGCTTTACTGTATCTGATTTCAGGGGTAGCCATTCTAAAATATGCATAATTTATTGGCCCCTGAGCAACCTAAGCTATTCTGATTTCAATACAAACACAAAACTAAAGGAGGATGTCTGGGGGGGGAATAAATGAATCAAACAAGCTTTAAGTCTGCGAACCCCAGGCGCTGTACATTATACCTCACATTTATATTATACCACAGCTGAAAAGAATGGAATGATGTCTAAATATTAAGTATTATTTTGGGAAGAAAATCTGCGAGGGTTATAAAAAAAATATCGTCATGGTGGAGAATTTTTATGATTACTAATCTGTTTCTGGGGGTTGATTTTTCCCTGTATTGCATATTACTCTCTGCCAAAACCCAGCCATAAGAAATCTGTTGTATTATTACGTTTTTATGTATTCGTTTAAGTGTTATTAGTGCTGTTTTAGCTACCTTAAAGATAAGCAGAATGTTACAAATGACGCTTATCAGTTGTCTGCCTAAAGAAGTCGCGTAGTACGTGCTGCATTTTTAATTGTATAAGACATGGCTGTTTATATGACTGCAGTTTACGTTAGATAACTACGATGCAGAACATTTCTCAATGGCCCAGTATTACATGTTGAACTTGATTTTCAAGATTTAGGAAACATGCTTTTAAATCAGAATGCTGCATGTTGACACAATTTCCGATCAAAACAGGCCTACCTTTGCCAATTTAATATGAAATATGATTATTTTTACCGTAAGGGTTGTTATTTTATGGAGTATTCCAATTACACATTAAATAAATGATTTATATATTCGGAAGCTCGACAAGTTAATTTACTTTATGCTCCGCCAATGGCATATTCTTTTTAATATGATAGTCTTGAAAAATAATTAAGGTTGTTACTTGTAAGACTGAAAATAAAATATTAGGGAATGCCGTGTACGGTGGGTGTACCAGAATATCAGCTGGGCGTCATTTTTCCATTTCCGATTTTTCCAAAATGAAATATAAGCGGAACCGGAAACGCCGCATCCGAGTTAAAACAACTGGGGTTTGCTGTATCGCCAAGCGGGCTACGAGGTAGCCGGGCAGGCAGCCGCGCTGAGGCGGACTGAGCAGCGCAGAGCCGATACTCCGAGAGGGTGAATGTAACGCTCTCCCACCCTGTCGCGAAACCGGACACACCGCTGTTTTTATTTTTGTTTAATAAACTTGTGAGGGTGAAGTTTTGATGTACTGGGAGAGGCTGTGTCGCTTGTCGATAGCCGCCGTGCCTGGAGCGCCGTCCTCGCGGACACACGTTAGCCGGGAGGCTAGCTAGTCAGGTGGCTAATCCATGTCTTTGCGGGCTAATGCTAGCGAGTTGCTCCGCGAAACGCTGACCGCGCTCCGGGAGGTTTCTCCCGATCTGTGGCTCTCTCTTCTTTTTTAAAATTAAGAAAAAAAATTGGACGACACTCTTGTTTAACACGAGTCGGATGAAATTTGAATTTCGAGGACGTCTGTTTGGGTTTAGATGAAGGACGGAGGGACTAGAAGCTGAAGCCGACTGAAGTGCTGAGACGGAAAAGTGGGGGGGGGGAGCTGGGCGTTTTTTTTCCTTTGGTCTTTTCCCTCCCCTGAAGACATCATCTGGAGACGGACAAATTCCCGATGGCAAACGAGCCGATCATACTGAACGTTTATGACATGGTAAGTGGGGGGCGACTGTTGGTGTCTTAAGACTACGGTAAGAAAGTTACCTGTGTTAGTGGGGATGCACGGCCAAGGGACGGCAGGTTTCATGTTGCTCTAATCAGATCGCTCTGGCATAAACCGCGACACATCTTCACGCTAGCATTAAGGTAATAAAAGATTAATACAGGCTTTGGAGTAATTGGACTACATTTGTACATCTGTGTTCTTGACTCACTAGTTTTGCTACATTCGATAGTAACTGTCACTTTTCAAGCTGCCCTTTCTAATGAAGCACCTTTAACGGAGATTAACACTGTTCGCTCTATTGAGAGATAAGTGGAGTTTGACACTGTGATGAATATTCACCCCCAGACCTTATCAGCCCTCTGCTGAGGTTTGTACTGTAGGCCAGGAGGGAAAGTACATGTCTGTAAATTTATCAAAATATAAAGGCACAGGTGGGCTTCCGTTCAAAAACGTCTGAAGTTTCATTCCAAGCAACAGATTGACATGTTTGAGACGGTACAAATGTGCTGAGGTATCACTTTGTTATGAAGTTGGAAAAATCATGTATCTGTTACCCATATTGTGGTTGTAACTGCTACTAAAAATAGCAATACTCAATAGTGGTAGTAAATCTTAAGATAAAGGGGATCCTTGTTAAGAGCTGAATGTAAGGCTTGTGTTATCTTTATTGCTGAAGTGGGTCAGCCTTGGAGAAGATGGTGAGAGATGATGGTGAGAGGTAGAGTTGTGTGAAAAGCCGTATATCCAGTGTGCGGATGTTCAGTCATCGATTGAAAAACCATCTTCTCCAGAAAAAGTGTTGCATCGTAACAGTAATTATGTTCCCTGAAATTTCAATTTAACCGTATTCTCATATGGTTCTAATCATACTGAACTTTTTTCCCAGTTCTTTAACATAAATTGGTAAATTCTTTATCATATTTTTTTCCTTTAGTGTTAATTCCATTGTTCTGACCTAATATTAATTTTAAGTTTACTTTGAGTAGCTGTGCTGAGCTGATGCAAAAGTTATTCCCATAATTTAAGGGGCATTTGTAGGTTTGTGTTTAAGATTTTATTTTTTCCCCCATACACAAGACCCATCTGAGTTTTCCTAAAATAATACAGCCTTTGAAATGTGAATCGCAAGGTTGATTGAGCCTCCAAGGAACATAGAAACTACCTCTAATATTTTCCCGTATTTATTTCTTTCATCTCCACTCTGCACTTTCGTGTTGTGCTGGAGAGGATAGATTGAAGATTCAGTTCTTTGTAAGCCATAAAGGTGCTCTCTTGTGGATCCAGAGAATCTAAATGCTGTGTATTAATCCGCTTTGACAAAATGCTTCCTTGAAGTGTTTGAAGAATAATTGCTTTTTATTCCCTTCCTTTTATACACCTCTTCCAGACCTAAGGAGAGTGATGTGCTGTGTCATGCAAATACCTAATGTCATACTACACATGCTGTTATGACCTGCCATCCATAACGCAATGCATGAAAGATGAGTGGCTGACCAAAGGCAGAATTTCCTGACATGATTATATTTGATAGCACTTCTTCAAAGGATTTGCGTTGCTCTTCCTGTTTAACTTGAGTCCAGACAGTTACCCCTTTGCTGTCACAGGAAGTCTTGTTTTGTGCAAAGCGAACTGTGGCAGGAGTTGCGAGCAGCAAGAGAACACCAGATGGTGGGGTTTTGAGATGCTAATTACTGATTATTAGCACTATGTCCTAAGAAGCTTCTGCTCTACCGTCTGAGGTTATGAGCATTATGACTTTTTTTATTCCCCTCCTGTTTCAGCTTATTCAGAAGACCAACTTAAACAGAGCACATAATTTGCTCTGACCAGATCTTTTTTTTGTACTGAATTACTTTTAATATTTTAGTTTATTGCTCTCTTACCAGCTCATTTTAGTTACTCTAACAGAAAAGTTCCAAAGACATCTAGGTTGAATTGGAAATGATAGCTTAATTCTGTTAGCCGGATTTTTTCCCCCCCATGATTAGATTGATTCCAAGTGAAAGTGGCTCTATTTCTCCTGATGTGTTACTCGGATGTGTGTGTAGCAGTAGAAGGCGGACGGTGTGAAGCAGAAGCCGTGCTCGTTTCTCAAGGTCTCCCACTCGATGCTTTGGGTTTCGACTCTGTCATTCAGAACTGGAGTATTCTCAGACTGTGACGTCATTTTCGCGTGCTTTGCTGTTGCTGGGGCTGGGAACGGGGGGCCCGGCTGCTGCTGGCCCTGTGCCCGGGGCATCCATCTGCGCAGGAGATTCTGCTGCTTCGCAATGGCATGAACGAAGTCCAGCTTTTGGTTTGGTTTGGTTTTGTATGGCGAATCATTCACAACACGTTTTGCTTGCGTCCGATCCTTTTGAAATAGCTTTCGTCGGTGGTGTTATAATCAATTAGTCCTTTTATACTGTAGCTCATGTACTGGGCATGTTGGTACCACTAAGCCATGAATATGGTCTTTGTGGATATTTTGGGGAGATTGTAAAACATGTGGTGCATGTGTGCATTGCGGGGCCTACTGACTGGAGCCTGGCGGCAAAGTGGGCTAATCGATGAGCCCCCCCACATGTTGTCCTAGGGAGCGACTGCGTTCCTGTGTCTAGATATGTTATGTTTTTTTAGACTGATTGGCATGACTGTTTTATGACTGATGGGCATATTACTGAATTTTATACGAATTTCTGAAGATGAGCGTTGCTGAGTTGTGCGTGCGTGTGTGTGTGTGCATGCGTGCATCTAATGGGCTTCCTGCGGTAGAGTTTAAGATTTAAAGCTGAGTCCTGTCTGTGTTTTGTTTTGTTTTTTTTTGTTATTTGATTTTTTTGGTTTTGCAAAGTTTTGCTTTTCACAATCTGCCCGTGTGCCAGCAACATTAGAGCCCCGCCTGCACAATTGATGCCTCCCTGAGAGGCGGCAGTTTTTGACGTGCTGTGTGCTCGAGCTGCATTCTCACCCAGTTGTCCCAGGTGGGGGCTTGTGCCTGGCTGTTTTCTCTCTCAGCCCTCATCGCCAGAGCCGGACTCCCCGTCAGCTCACTTGTTCGTCATACAGAATATCTTGAGGAGAGGCAGTGCAATCAATAAGCTATTTCACTGCACTTTGAGGAAGCATAGTCTCTTCTGGCTTCCACAATGCCTGCCCCTCCTCCTGTCTCTCTGCCATTGTGTGGCTGCCATACACAACTCATTTTTAAATAAAATTAGAACTCTTCTGTACTGGTTGTATACTTGCATGCATGCAGAGATTGACATAACTGGTGTGCAAGTACACATTCGCTATATGAAGCAATTTCCATTGTTATGACGATTTATTGTGGAAATTTCTTGTCATAACAGCACAAATGCCCAAAAAATAAGTACACATTTGCGCTGTCACGACAAGCTGCGGCACATACTGCTTTATATGGCAAATGTATACCAGTTGCGTCGATCCATGCATATATGTATGGGGAAACCAGCCCTAGTGTTACTGAGAGGCCATCTCTGCCTCTTCTGTTACATGCTGAAATGCCACTGTAGAATGTCCCTAATTCAGCCATAAGTCCATCGTCCTGCTTAACCTCTGATTGACCTCTAGGAAGAACCTTAGCATCCTACCTTCTGTTAGTTTTGTGTAGGCGATGTCTTTATGGGGGGGTTGTTATGACTGTCGCCATAGCTTTGCATTTGCTTTTGGCTGTTCTCACCCTGCCCACCCTGGGCTGCTTTTTTTTTTTTTTTTTTTTTTTGCAAACCTTGAAAGCCATTTGAAGGCAGGTCTAATGTATTATGGGAAAGCTTGTGCCTTGAGAGCCACTGTGGGTGGGATTGCTGTTCAGTCAAACCCTACCTGGCGTAAACTACTAGCAACCGTACTACAGTCACCAATGAGAAGTGGGTTATACCAATTTGAGGCTCCTGGGCAATGTTAATCAGCCCTGGTGTTGGTCTTGATGTGTCTTTGGTATTTGGAGGGGAGCGTAACCCATGTTTTCTTAAACTGACTACAGCCCTGTCCAACATTCATGCGGACCTGTGTGTATTTATATGGCAGGGATTTGCAGGATGCTCCACGCCACCCAGGATGCGCTACTGTAGGCTGGTATCCTGCACAGTCCATTTATTATTGATCTACTTTTTGGCTTTGATTACAGCTGACTTCAACAATGAGGTCTTATGCATTAACAATCAGTATTGTACAATGTGACTCAGGCTTCCAGAACTTTGTGTAAAAATGATTATTATTCACCCCCCCCCCCCCCTCAGGATTTGCATAGCACGTTATGTGCTAATTTTAACATTTAGAACAACACATTACTCAGTGCTGTGTCCAGTCCCTCTTATTCTCCCTGTGCTTTCAGTGGCAAACGCTGAATGCGTCATGATTTCTCTGTTCCAGTTGGCTGGAGCAGATTTCATCACGTATCCACGCCTGTAGCCAGAAGCTGAGCTGCGTGTGTGTGTGTGTGTGTGTGTGTGTGTGTGTGTACGCACACCATGTTCTCAACACTGATTTCCAGAAGACCTTGGAAAGCAGGCAAACACATGACCTTAAAATCCCAAATTGCTTGAGAGACAAACAACAATAGTAACCTTTTAAGTGGCTTAATGTTTAAAATTGTTAAATATTTAAGCTGTATTCAAAGTCTCCTACTACTAAGTACTATTACTGTATTTTCATGCCGTAATCTTGCATTTACTCTGAAAACTGAACGCAGTCTGGTGTGCTAAGCTATGGGATGTATGATGATCTTTAGCACCTTTCATACATAAAATGCAGGTCAACGGGATTTACACTGCAAATAAAAATAACCATAAGATAATCTAAATTACAGTTTTATGCCAGAATTTATTGCTTTCATCCGTGCTTCAGGGTGTGTGTGTGGCTTTTAAGGGCTTCTGTAAATGGCATAAATTTCTCAGCCTCATTTAAGCAAGGCTCATGCTATCAGGTAAAGCATGATTTGCTCCTGTTACAGACAATGCCACCCTGTCTTTATAGATTCTGTTGAG